ATATCAGCTTTATTTAATCTGTAATCAGTCCTGAATCTTTCAGATGGTGTGAAATGTTTAGAACAGGAGGTTTCATCAAAAAAATACTATTCAGGATAAAATATCACAGCCTTTAACTGACTTCAGCCCACCTTTCATTATTTAACTCCTTTCTTATCACATTATGTTAATTATATTCTTGGGTTGTCAACAACCAACACCAAAACAGTAGTTAACTATAAAAGACATTTTTTATATATTCAAGGTCCCTCAGAATAGGACTAAGTTTTCTAGTTGCAGGGACAGAACCTTATGTATAGGGGTAGTCTGTCCACAACCACGTGGGCAGTTCTGTAATAGAAAGGAAGTGTTTATGGGAATCATATAAAAATAATATTATGAGGAAAGAATAAAGATTGGAAGGAGTGTGAAAGAACAAGATCTGGATTAAGAGAAATTCGCATTAAGATAAAATTTGTATAAATATCATACAAGTTATTTGCCTGGGATTTCAGCTTTCAAAGCTGTCAGTTCTTTCAAAAATATTCACATAATTATGCAGACAAACATTACCCCACATGGATCTATTTGCCTTAGACTGCATTTGAAACTACAGACTAAAATTTGTACTTATGTGTCCTTCTTCAGGAGAAAAAATTACAAAGATATGTGTATTACATTCCCCAGAGCATATATAAATATATAAAAATAATAGAATTATAGAAATAGTTTCTGGAATGGATTTATTGAGGTCTCTAGTCCAACTACCTGCTCTGAGATGAGACATCACCAGTCTAAGCTTAGGCCAGATGTGGTTTTTCTCTATTTGTGTGTTGAATTTTTCTGAGGATGGAAAGTCCCTAAACCCTCTGGCAAATCATTTGTATTGCATTCAACACTAGTGAATAGATTTTTCCAAAATCAACCTTCCAGCCTATAATTTATAGCCTTGATCCCTTGTTATATTGTGTGGCACCACCTAGGAAAATTTGCCTCTCATTAAGATTTGAAATTTTGTCTCTCATTATGTCTGTAATTCCTCTTTAAGTAATTTCAGATTGCTAGTAACTCACTCTGAGTCTCTTCACCAAACTGAATGAGCCCAGTTCCTTCAGCCTGTCTTGGTGGGTCAGATGTGCCAGAACACTGATTGTCTCGCCCTTTGTTGGAGTCCCTCTGTTTCCCCATGTATTAATAATCTGATAAATGTTCTAGGTTGTATAATTCCTGGTAGAAATTATTGACATGATATATTCTGTTTACCATATAATAGAAATAGTCAATCTTTCCACTGCCAGACTGATGAATGTCATTCAAAGTGATGCTTAAAGTATCTCCAGGTGCCACAACAGCATGTGGGATGCTGATGCTGAGGTAATTTGGGGAAGCAGACTGGTATCTTTCAGCTCTGATACTGGCTTCAGGTGATTCTAATTTTTCTTTTCCCTCTTCAGCCTTTACCTGTCAGGGAAGAAAAAGACACAGTGAATCAAGTGTCCCGCAGGAGACAGTACATAGTGTCACCATTAATTCATATCTTGCAGGATTATTTGGAAAATGCTGTGAAGTAAGGTGAATGCCAAGGCCTCATTAGCAGAACCTGTCACCAAAAACCAGGATTTTAATTATTTTAATTTCTCTCCCCATTTTGTCTCTTGCTGCATTTTAATCTGGCATTTTTCATTCTTGGCTCTTCTGAATAAGAATCAATGCCCCAAAATCACTCAAAAGTGATTTTGTACTCAGAGAAGTTTTTTTCCCCATTTTATATTGTGCACTAAAATGAACCCCCTGAGCGGGCAGATGTAGAGTACTCTCTGCATTGATAAGGACCTTTTTCTTCACCTTCTTTTCACAATTTCCTGTCATTTCCCATGGTGAATCTTTACAGTCCCACTTCTGTCCTTCACACCAGGAAAATGGATATTGAAACACCAAACAAAATGCACCACTATAACCAGTGCATGTACCTCCAAGGCTCTGATGTACAAGAGTGCCCTTCATGTCAGTGAGATCCCTCAGGCCCCTGGTCTCTTTCAAATATCCTACACAATCTGGAAAAAGCTCTACAGATGATGTAAAAAATGATGTTCCACACTCTGTGCTAATTTACTGAAAACTGATCATCTTCACAGTCATTTGTAATTGTCTTCTGAGTTCTTCCCAGTGATACACTTTTAAACATGGATGTTTGGGTTTTCTTTACCGTTATTTCAAGCCTTTGGGCATCTCTGGGGATGTTGAACGTAAGGGGGATTAGGCCCTCTTTGTTAGAGAGTGCAGTCTTCTTCATTGGGGGTTTTCCAGGCAAGGTAACAGTAGCAGTGACAGGTAGGGAGCCAGCAGGAGAACCATCAACCAAAGTGACAGATGCCTATTGGAAAAAAAAAAAAAAAGATTTTGTTACTTAAAGGAAATCCTGGGTTAAAAAAGGCTTACAAATAAGAAGCAGTTATTTTTATAAACTGAGAAGAAATACAAAAGTGTACACATTAGTGTTCAAAAATTTGAGCTTTGAGAGAAGGGGGTAGAAATCGACTCAGTCTGGACTCCAACTAAGGTAAAAATCTGTGAATAAGGATTAAGATCTGCCTTAGGTATTCATTTGGCATCTTCTTGGTCTAAGCTGGTCCCAGAGATATGTTTCTTTAACTCTTATGAGGTAAATTTATAATTTTAACTTGTTGTAACTCTGTAGAAAAACTTGAAGGTGTTAAGGTTAAAACAGTAAAAATTTAAATGCATTTTTTTAAAAAGGAAATATGCTGGTTTAGTTTTCAGGATTCCAATTTGACAAGGGACTAATTTGATACAATATTATTATTTTAATATTTTGATATGGAAGTGAGGAAGAGACTGCTGTTTTATAAAACCTTGTAGAGCAACAGTGCACATTGACTTCCAGAGCAGAAAAACAGCATTTTCTGGCTGCTCAGGCTCTGAGTGCGCAGAAACAAGACAAACCAGACACAAACTGTATGTCTGTGTTGGACCTATTCCTAAGGGTCTCTGTCCTGTAGAGCTCCCATTGGATCAGATGAGGAAAAAGGGTAGATACAAATGTAGTGCTTTGGAGGCAAACAGATAAAATTGGCTGAATTCTACATACCACAACAGAGAAGGGGGCTCCAGGCACAAAATACTTTTTGGTGTTAGACAGATCAACAGCATAAGGAGATTTCACAAACTTCACATTGTTGAGTTCCTCTTCCCTCATCTCACCACCTGTTAACATCAAACAGGTCCTGTTGCTATGAGGGCAATCACTACGTACTTCAATATAACCACAACATCCCTCATTTCTGTTTCCAAGATTAGTTTCATCTTTAGCAACATATGTAAAGGAAAGTGAGATATGATCTCTGCACAAGAGCTTCAGTCTTTAGCAGGAGATGAATAAAAATTTCTCTCTAATACATCAATTAAAACAAAGTACCTGCAAACAAAAGGCACTCTACCACAGGAGCCATTGCAGCCACACACCTCCCTTTCTGAGCTGCTGGGGCTCCATTCCTGTGGAACGGCTCCATGAAAGTCTAACATAGAATTCACTCAGAATTGGTAGAGGGGTTAGGACCTTAGATATCTAATTTTCTGAAAAAAATTTTTTTTTTCATTTTCAGCAACTAAGGAGACTTAATATTACCTGATGTAATCTTCTGCAACCTGCAGCTTGAGCAACTCCTTTCCATCTAAGAATCTACCAGTTAAAACAGTAATTCTACCAGTTAACTTCTAGTTACACCACTACCAATAACTATATCTAAAGAAACTAGTTGCACAACTTGTTTTAAACCAAATGCATTTAGAAACATATTTCAATATCCTTATTTTCCACTCTAACACTCCAAGGTTGAGAGGTGTCAGTAAAGCCCACCACCCTTGCCCCGTCCCACATGTAATTAGTTCCAAGCTCAGCAAGTACACATGTGTGAAGGTAGCCTGCCTGTGGCAGAAAGGGACAGTGTGCACAGCGTGATAGAGAGCATGTCTCACCGTGAGATCTTGTGCCCATCATGATGGTACAGTAAAAGGAGTTCTTCCAGCCCCTTTTGCTCTTGCCATAAGTGTTGTGGCAATAGTGCATGCTAGCATCTATGGTAGGTTATACTAAAGAACTGCACAGCTGCAATAAATTCATCTTAATTTTAGGATTTTAATGAATCCTACTTAATGTATAGGATTTCTAGGGATTTATAGAATTCTTGTAATTCTAAGCTAAGTACCTAGACTCCTTCTACAGCTATTGGCAACGGCCACATCTGGAGTGCAGTTTAACCCATCCATTCTCTATACTGACTGCATGAAATGCCTGAGCTCTGACTAGATACTTTACTTTCAGATACCTTAAATAAAGGGGATCAATTTCCCTATGAAGAAAAAGAAAAATCTTGCCCCTGTTGGAAAGGTCAGCTCTGTCACAGATTCAGCTTCAGAAGTTTGCTCTGTTATTATCTGTGCCCTAGGAGAACAATTGCAAGTAGCCACTAGAAACTCTGGAAGGCATGCTCCAGGCTCATGTGGCAGATGAACAGCAAGGTCAAGCAATTTGGACTAAATTGTGCTTGTGCATAACGCCAAGTACCACTGTCTGATAAAACTGTGGGACATGAGAGGACAAACAGGACTCACAAGCATTAGATTCTCTTCTGCACTGCACTCTGGCTCTAATACATATGCCTTACCTCTAACCTGACAGCTTAGCAAGCTGAGGTAGAAAGCAAGTTATCAAGTGTAACAAATAAATTTATATATATGTAAGGCATGGATGTGGCTAAGGCAAGTGATCAATGGGATCTTATGGGGAACAATTTATTTGCATTCACACGTGTCTGATGCCACTTCAGAGGGACTAGGATATCTCAGATATCCTCACAGGGCTATATCATGTGGGACAGACCCTATAGGACAGGACTTACATGAGGCCTGAGTACTTTTGGACCAGCAATGGAAGACCACGCAGGACCACATAGGGCATTTAAAGTGGTCAGGATATTTGGGTTCACATAAGTGAATACTATACAAAATGAAGGTTTTGTACAGAAGGGGGTCAGATGAAAGAGACTGTCAGGCACTACAGCATGAGCAAGCATTGCAGCAAAGATTGATCTAGTGGTACAAGATTTCCCACATGAAGAGAAAGGTCAATATAAATATTACAGACTGTATCAGCTAAACCATGAAAAGCTAAACCAAGAAAAACTCACTCGCGGTTTCTACAGTAGTAACAGCAACGTATAAATGAAACCCTTCCAGAGTGGAAATGCTCTTCCTTACTTTCTCTTCCAAAAGTGGTGTACTTAAAGTAACTCTTCCTTTCCCATTTTGAATCTAAAACGAAAGTGAAAAAAAAAAAAAAAAAGAAAAAAAGGGGAAGTGACAAGCCTTTAGTGGTTTGTTGCCATTAGAAATAAAAAAACTGTTGCTTATATCATGACTATAATATTGCTGGGTTCTAAGTTTCTAGAATTTCTGACAATATTCAGCTTAGGTACAATAAATCAGAATAGTTCCACTGAATACTTACAGATAGCTGTTGCTCCAGACCTGGAATAAACACTTTGTTTTCATTTTCATCAATGATGCCAAATCGCACATATGCAGCACCTTGAATTTCTTTCCCATAAGAGTGTCTTTGAAAGGAAGAAAAGTGAGGAGGTGAATCATTATCTTAATAAAAAGCAAGCATAAATCAGACATTGTTTTATGCTGAAATAAAATTGGAATATTTGTAGGCATCCCATCTGTAACTAATAGCTTGACAACAACAACTAGTCCCATTCACTGGTAACTCAAATATGAAGGCCTGTGTACCAAGTAGTGATTTTAAATGCAGATATACATATGGAGTAAATCACATTGGCAGAATCACATGCTGAGACAACATCTGACAAAATTTATACCAGAGTAAACAAAACTTTTTTTTTATTTTTTAGTGAATTAATGAGAACTTTAGTTGTACAGTGAGGTCCTACATGACTCATCCCCTTCAGAGCGAGGTAGGGGGGTATCCAATTTATTTAGGTTGGATGAACAGCTAATTCCTTCGGATGAGACACCTCATGAGAAAAGCTTTTGAAATAAGGGACCAGAGAATCATTTCAGAGACTAATATGAAGTATTTGGCCCCTCTGAAGACCTACAGAGACAGATCCTAACTGCTGATATTTCAATACATGCATTGGGTACAGCAGACACCCTCTGCCCCACATCTCTTCTACATATTGAGGCAGTATAGCATAAGGTTCTCTTGTAAGTGAAATATTTGTGAGATAGGTATCTGTCCAGAACACTACTGAACATTCCATGTAGGTCATGGAGAGAAAGGATGGGTCATGTAGGGCTTGTTGTTGTACCTGGCTCCTTATACAAAGAAACCCTGGCAGATGGAATCCACTGGCAGCACAGCATTTAATGTGCTACATGAGACTTGTCATGGCCATAGTGTTGTCTTTTGCTTGCGGAAATCCTGCTCTATCTCTGTTCTGTAATGGTTTATTTTTGTTTAAACAAAGCCTCTTTCAAATTGACCTGATCAGCAGGACTTATTTATACCAACAAAAGCAACTGAGAGGCAGTTCTTATGAAAGCTCCATTAAATTCCAGAACTAATAACTGTGGGAAACAATAGTCAATATACTAAATAACTTTATTACGTGCATGGTCAGTTCAGAGAAATAAGTTCAATTATCAAGAATTCCATATGTTGATTTTGATGAAAGTCAGGTAGCACCACTAGGACATTTTCCAATAGACAAAACAATTATTAAACCATAATTTTTCTTCTTAAATAATTATGATGTTAATGAGTATTGAAATATATATGAAGTTTATAAACTCAAAAATAAGTGCTGCAATAGCATAGAGAACATTTTAAAAGGATTAAAATTAAAGCCAGTGATTTGATATCACTTCATATCACAGTATCAAGGAATCATGATTAAAGCTAGTAATTATTCAGTAGAACCAAATAAAGAATTGAAGGTGATCAAGAGGAGATTAGAAGAGTTGAGTTCAACCAAGCATAAAGAGATGAATTCAGGATTCTGTCTGCTCTCTCAAGGTGTGCTGGGGAAAGGAAGGACCAGAATAGTCAGGGACGGAGAGCAGAAGTCCAATAGGGTATACACTGGTCAGGGATAAAATTAGATTAGAAATAAACCCAGACAAGAAGTAGTGGGAATGGGGGATCAGTTTTCCACTTGGATACAGTGCCAGGGTCCATGCAGCAAAACTAGCAACTCTGCTCTGTTTGGACCAGGTTAATTAAACAAAAGGAGTACAGTGCTGTTGTACTGCAGCCAGCTGGCACAGCCCAGCTCAGTTCCCGCTCTACTAAACAGCAAGGTGGTCACATAAATACCTTGAGCTGACCTTGGTTCATACTTCTTCCTAAAAAGGTTTCAGAAATTGTCTGAGGAGTGCTGCATGGATGAGGTCAAGCTCTCACCATGCAGCTGAGCCACTGGTAGCTAAGCTCTAAGGCTTGTGACCCAGCTGGAACTATTTAATTGACTGCTCAGGTGATTCAAATAATTTCTCTGGTATTATGTTGAAATGCAGACAAAGTTCCTACTGTATGAGGATAATATTTGAATAAAATAATATTTTTGTTTGCTGCTCTTAATTTGGAGGGCTTTCTAGAGTCAAACACAAGGTGAAATATGAATGGTCACAGTAATAATGATGCATTAGTCACATGCACTCACATAGAACCATAGAAGCAGTAAAGTTGGAAAAAATTTGGCTATTAACTAAGCACTGTCAAGTCCACCACTAAACCATGTCCCTAAGTGCCACATCTCCTAAATATCTCCAGGGATGGTAACTTTACCACTTCCTGAGCAGCCTGTTCAAATGCTTGACAGCCCTTTCAGTGAAGAAATTTTTCCTAAAATTTTTCCTAAACATCCCTTGGTGGAACCTGAGGCCACTTCTTCTTGTTCCGTCACTTGTTACCTGGTAGAAGAGACACCTCACTGCAATCTCCTTTCAGGTAGTTGTAGAGAGTGATGAGGTTTCCCTTGAGCCTCCTTTTATCCAGGCTAAACAACCCCAGCTCAACAGCTTTGCTGCTCTTCTCTAGACACGCTCCAGCACCTCAACATCCTTCTTGTAATGAGGGGCCCAAAACTGAACACAGGACAGGATTTGAGATGCAACCTCACCAGTGCTGAGCCCTAGTCTTGCTGGCCACACTATTGCTGATACAGGCCAGGATGTCATTGGCCTCCTTGGCCCCAGATAAATGTTAATAATTAATTCCTATTTAACTAAAGGTTACTGTAAGCCAAATGACTTACTCAGTTAATTATTGCCAGTGCTTAATAAAGGCTCAAGCTTTGGCTGTACAGACTAGGATTTTTTATGCTTATTTGTATATTACATTAGCAATTTCTATACTTAGATCTTCCCTCCCTTCTGTAATGGCTGTCTTGTCCCTTCCATTCGCATCAACTACAAAGACATAAACTATGCAATGGTGATTTATCAATAAGATAGTCTTATACTATTAAATTATGTATATGTTGCTAAAAGACAATACTCAAAGAGGTTTCGCCTAGGAAACTTAATGAAATACCTTTATAAAATTATACAAGTTAATATATAGAGTTAGTAAGTTATAAGAATGAACTTCTCTGCTGAAGTATCTCCCAACAATGTCAAATGTGTATATTTATATATTATTCAGAAATAATTGTAAATCATTAATGGTCAAAATAATAAAAGTGAATGGATACAATAAGCTTTACAGGTCAAAAGTAAATAATCACTATGTAATAAAATACAAACAGTTCACTTTCCACTATTTTGCGTTATGGCTACCATACAAAAAATCTGCCCACTGTATAACAATAAATATATTTAACAACACTAGCTGCAATAACTGTGTGTGGTCCTATTCTCGCTTTTGTGGTAAAGAATGTTAAGGGATGCGGTGAATGATCCTCAAAAGCCATGAGGTGCTGAATTATGTTTTAAGGAGTTGTTCTTGGTGACAGTCTAACACTACTTGCTGACACTGCATGTTCAGCTCTCCCCTGACACATCAAAACTGCCTGGAAATGAATCTGAGCTTTTGTCTATCTAGGGAGAAATAAGCAGAATAACTATTTCAGTATTATGGGGATAATACAGAGTACGTTATTATAAGAGATATATTCTTCCACATCAACTATCCAGTGTGTCTGACAATACCCTAAAACCCTCCTCTATTTGATAGTATTGTTAAATATTAATTTCTGATTTTTAAAGATATAAAAATTAGATTCCTCACTCCTTTGAAACTGAATAGTTCTCCCAACTATGAAAGAAGACCAGCTACTTCCACATGTCTGTTCTCATTTAAAAAAATTTACTCTTCTTCAGAAAAAAAGGAAAACAAATGTATCTAGTTCTGATTTAGTCGTTCTCTCCACAGGCAGTTTCTTAGTATTTTGACTCCAATGAAACTTGAAAATTCAATGATCAAGAAGGTTTGATAGATGTTGATAAGCCACTGAAAGTGTGCAGCAAATTAATATCTATCAATTTGTGCTCAAAAATACCAGAGCCACAGAGCACCAAATACTTATTTAATTTCAGTTCAGTCTGATTCATCAAAGTTATTAAAAATATTTTAGTGGGTTAACTTTTCACTCTCTGACTTACTTAGTGATTGTCATGGAAACTCCTCTGATTAGTTGTATTTATTCCCCTGGAAACATTTATGCATAAAATTACTCTCATTACTCTCAAACAAGCAGTAGCTTATTACTTACAAACTTCAATGGGCCTTGAAAAAATTCCATACCCAAACTTGAATCCATTTCTACTTGAATTAAATAACACATCCGTGCTATTTAGAACATTTTTAAATGTAAAAAGTGAAAAGTATAAAGAAAACCAGGTGATCAGTTTGCCTCAAACCTTATCGAGCAACACAGAGGAGAATCCTAAATAACCACCTTTACTAGCAAAATAAAATATTTAGTAAATCTTGCTCCACCTTGATCACCATGACTTGAACCCAGGTGGAATTTTACACTGATGTCTCAAGTCATTAGTGGAAACAGAGAGTATGTAAGATTAGTCAGAATCAAGTAAAGCCAGAAGTGGGTTAACTGTTAATGACAAGAAAAGAAAGAAGCTACAAAGTTCATGATCTACTTATCTGCCTCCTGAAACAACCTGACTCTGAGCACACCTACTTTGCCTCGATATCAAACACAAAGCTTTCATTCCAGATGTGGTAGTATGGCTGAAGTGGGATGAGTTTGACTTCAAAAGATGGGAGTTCTGCATGAAAAAAAGAAGGTGAAAGGTCATGACATACAAGTTTCAAACATATCTTAAACTCCTGGTATGCGGCAACACCCACCAAGAGGGTGCAGCTGCACTGAGGGGATGTTTTAGTTTGAATCAGCAGTGCACTACTGAAGCAAATCTCTGATTGTTTTCCCTTATTCTGCTGTGCTTCACATAGTGGAGCAGTGTTTGAGCCCACAAAATTCAATATTCATTTATTTACAATGAAATTAGGCAAGAAGATAAACTCCAACTGCTACTGGGCGTTGAGTGCTCTGGACTAGAAGGAGTCTGAACTAAACCCACTCTGAAATGTGTTGAGTGTGGATGTGAGATCCCTGGCATCAGCTGTGTCACTTTGAATTTGCTCTTATCAAGCCAAAATATTTGCACCTGTAGATATAGTCAGGGTAATTTGCTTCTGCATGCAGGTGTTCGTGGAGGATGTAGTAGTCTCCGCTACTCTGTTACATTCGCTAAGGCAAGATTTTCATACAATCCCAAGGTTTTATTTTGTCTTTGCAGAAAAAAAAAATCAACAAAACAACAAACCCACACTAACTTTACAAGCAGGCATAATTTCAGTGCAAATAAATAAATCAAGCAATTTTTAATCCTAAATTGTTAATTTTTCCCATTTTTACTTTTCCCGCATTGCCCTTACTGTTGCTTTAAAAAAGCTTCCTTGAGTATAGGAATAACCGTTATAAACTTCCAGACTGAATTCTACTGAGAGAAAATGGGCAGGTCTTTTTTCCATCCTAGTCTTCACTGGAAGGTTTAGGAGAATTGCAATGACTTTAAAATGGAGCTCATCTCATTCTTTTTTTTTTTTTCTTCTCCAGTAGGAGAGCCCTTACAATGTTTTGTGAAAAATGTTAAAAAAGTGTTTAAAAAGTTGCTAAATCTGTATATAAATAAAGGTGTTTCTTTTTTAAAATATAAGTGGAAGCCATACAAAACCAGGGTTTTCCTTCTGTGCATCAGAGATAGCAATGATGCACAGAAACACTGAGAAATTTGTCCTTAGTACCTAAGTAGAGCCAGGTTTAATCACTGCAGTGTATCTTTTAACACATATTGGTAACTTCATATATTAAAAATACAAATTTAATATTCTCTTACCATATTTTTTAACTTCAAATTCAGCAGAAACATTAGACATTTCATGTTGATGAAACCAGGCTTTGATTTTCCAAGTTCCAGGCCTAAAGTTCAGATTCAGCAGAAAATGGATTAGGATTCCTCAGATATTTGATAATGCCAATATAAATTATTACTAAACACTAATATTTTCCCTACTTTTATCTCATCCCAAACCAATTTATTAATGGATTTCTCCTTGCTAGGAGGAACCAGCAACATATTTCCAAATGTCCTAGAAAACACTCAAAATAACTGTACAAGGAAGTACAAGATAACATATCTGCAAACCACATGTAACATGTATTACCTTTGAAAAGTCCTCTGAAATAGAGAACTCATCAAATATTTCCTATAGCTTATCTTCACTGTGATATTAGAATCAACTTAGCATGCAAGAAAACACTGAATATTAAGTAAAAGCCTGACTGAAATAATTAATATTTAATAATTAAGATATAGTTAATGACATTTTGCAAAATAAGCCCCTTGCAGAAGTGCTCTCTTGAATGAAGCCATACATTTAAACAGATTTTAACTTTTTTTTCAATTTTTAAAATTTTTTAAAAATTAAACAGTTCTTAAATTTTTCCTTGTCAGGAAACATGCTGCTAATTACAGCATAATAACATTAAATTCTGGACTCATTTCTCCAAGATGAGGTGCTTAAAGGTAAAAAGATATTAACCATAGGCTTAATCTTTGCCCTATGGTGAGAGAGCGACAATTTCGAAAGGTACTTCTAACAATTCAGTAGTTAAAAATCTTAATCTACAGGCTTTCATGCACAAGGCACAGCAGTAACGTACTCAGCAACATCAGGTATTTCGAAGTGTTCACTGAACACTGCCTTTATTTTCCGGTCTGACTTTCTAACCACCATTCCTTTTGAATTCTGTTGAGACAGAGAAAGCAAATATGAAATTAGGCACCAGGTGTCAAAACATTTACATCCAAAAGTTCAAGCTTGTGTACTAGTCCTATGGAAAAGAAAATGCTTCGCTTACTTTCCTACTTTAATATTCACATGTCACATTTCCCTCCCTACTCCCAATATCAGACAAAAAACAACTAGAGTCAAAGCGATAGTTTTGCTCTTGCATCTTTTGCGCAAGTTATTCATAGTTCCTGTGTTGAAGAACTCATCAACAGTGTTTTTGCATACTTACTAGCACAGCAACTGTAACTGTGTCATCTGTTGGCCTCATAGCATTGTCCAGAATGAAGATCCTGTATTTTACTGTTTAACACAGAAGAATAAACACAGTCACTTTTTTATTTTTTTGTCCCTTCTAGAAAGTAATTATTATGAGCTGTAAAATGAGTTACTGAATTTAGAATTTACTGAATTTCTTTTAATGAAAATTAGTCTGAGAAATTTCAAAAAAGAATTGAAATCTTCCACAGGCTTTACATGTTACCTGACCAGATAAACTCTTGAAGCAAATTCTGAAAATTAATCAGGGAGCTTCACTCACATATATATTCCTTCTGCAGTTGAGGCCTGAAACCAAACTCCAGAACTCTGTTTACTTCTGTCTCTTATTACTTAATGAAATGGATAGGTAACAAGGCAGTTGTGGTCTTAAAGAGAAAAGAATACTTATTGCTGGTGTTGCAAGCAGGACCAATATGAGTTTGGGGTTTTTTGCAGGTTTCTCACAAATTTATTTGCCAAAGGAATGTTGTCATTAAGCTTTTTGAACAAAAACAAGCAGATTTTGTTTGGCTCCCGTTAGAATGACTCTTTGGCTCCAGTGGCATTTTCACAAGCGTTGCTACAGTGTGCAGTGCAGACCCTGCGGAAGTCCTGGCTGCAGGAAGGATCAAGTCATTGTTACTTTTTATAATCATGCCCTTGTGTAACATCTATATTCAACATTCAAAAGGCAGAATTTGTATCTTAACCTTTGGAACTTTGTGTGTATATAGGCTTGTCTGTTTGAATAAAAATGTAGCCTTTCTTGGAGGACAGGAGGATGCGAGTGCTCTGAATTGTCTTAGGAAGCTCCCTGCTTTCAGCGACCAGCAGAACGTATGGCTGATTACTCTTCTTGAACAGGTTGTGTTGCAGAGTCCCTGGGCTGATCTGAAGAGGACAAAAGGGAAAAAGCCACAGAGTCAGAGATGAGCCTTTTAACTCTGGGGCCACATAGAGGAGGGTCCAAAACAGCTGAAGTGCTTAAATAATTCTATTAGCACCATTCAACAGAAGATTCTAAATTAAATCTTCCTCACTGGGGATTATATATTTCTTCCTAGATGAATATTTCTTTTAAAGTTTAGATACTACCTAATGCTTTATTTTCCACCATAGAAATACATTCTTCTGTTCGATGGCAATTGCTCAAGCTTGGTGACTTTTCTTCAGTCTACATGCTTGTTGAATTCCAGTCACCACGTATCCTGTAATCCCTATTATGCTAAAACCTTGTCTGTGAGAATGGTGCTTTACTTCATACAGTTTTATATGATGCTTCTAAACATGACCCTCAACAGGAACTTGATTTGAAAGCTCAGCTCTTAGCTTTGGGGGAAACCAACCAGAGCTAAACTGAATATTGCTGTGTGCTGTTTTCCAGCTAACTAGCCCAAACCAGTGCCACTGAAATAAATCCTGCCAGACTTCAAAGAATCATGCCAGCAGCAAATGATGCAACTCAGGATGTAAAGAACTAATCCACTTAAGAGTTTGCAACACAGGCTTTGGTCTGAGAAACAACACATTTTTAAAGGTATCTCCTGTTTTGTAACATGGCCAGTAGTAAGACAAAGATATAAATGCAGTCGTAGTTTAAGTGATGCAGAACAACAGTGATAAAACAATTAAATTGAACTTATCACCATGTGACAAAATCTTGAGCTTGTTATTTGGGCACAAAAGTGCACTCACAGTCACCACTGAAATTACATTAGGCGTTCTCTTATTAGCTGGTTGGGTGAACAGGGTAATGCTGTCACTAGTAATGGTGTTCTGTCATGTGTCTCTAGGTATCAGTGTTGTCTCTATTCCAACCTAGTACAGATTACGTGCTTGTTATCACTAAATTAAAAAATGTACATCACTATGATGCCAGACTCACCATTATTTTTTTCATCTCTTGGTAGTCATTATTTTGGTTAAGGTTAAAGATGATCCTGTCTGACAGCAGCTGATTTTTAAGCTCATCTTTGAAGTACACAGTAACTTGCACAGGGCTCTGTGCTCCGTGGACTTGAACTGTTATTGTCTCATGTGTGCCCAAATGTACCACATTTGGGGCAGTAATAAGAAACCTAAAACAACAGAGAAAAGATTATCCAGTATGCTCAATGATTGTCCGATCAGTGCAAAATTTTAAAGAAAAAAGCACTCTCACAGAATAGCTGAACTTGGGACTTGCAGGGATCAACAAATCTATTGCCCTTGTTAGTCAGAATAGAGGTTAAAAGTAGACAGTTTCTCTCCGACTGATCCCCAAATTCTGAACCATCACATTTAAGTCCTACAAGACATCAGTCCCTATACATAGGAGAGAAAAAAACCTGCAATATGTCCCGGGGACCACCAATGTAATTTATAGCATGGTTTAACTCACAGAAAGTTTTATAAACTCAAACTTCTTAAACAAAATGAGGTCGTGCATTGAAAGACAATGAATACACATTCAGAAGTACATATTTAATACTACAAAGTTATGTATCTTCATTTATTAGCACTTACATTATGACAATTTACACCTTAATATGTCAGGAGAAATAAATTTCCTATCTAACCATATCTATGGTGTTACAAGTAATTGATCTTCATTGCAATATCTCTGTTTGTGAAATGCTGGGAATGAGAGACCACAGAAGGTAAGACCACAGCCCTGGGAAGGGCTGAGTTGGAGGCTGAAGTGGTTGGGATTTTTTTTTTTCTCTTTATTACTTTCCTTTATTCTTAACTCTGCTCTGGTACTTCTTAGCAATTAATTTCATGACCTTTAAAATGTAGATCATTATTCTTGCTTTCATTTTTTTCCAGTACATTTTACACACAAAAATCAGAGAACTATATGAAATTCCATGTCATGACTCTTCACATATAATGTCACATATACAAGGAACAGTTCTGAGCTCAAGGAAGATGCTTTTGGAAAATTATTATTCTGCAAAAGACTTCTAAAATGAAAGGTAAATGATTTTGCTATTATCAAAATGGGTTGGCTGAACTTTCTCTTTTTTACTTTTCTAGAAAAATGTTTCTTCTTTCTGAAATGTATAAAATGAAGCGTGGGGTATAGCAATCAGGGAATAAAACTGATATTTAATTTCATTCACTCACAGTCTGTTGCTTCTAGCAAAAGGTGACACAAGACCTGGCTTCACATATGGAAAATAGAGAGTAATGCTTGCTCTCTGACATAGCCTATAAAAACTCAAGGTATTTTTTTCTTCCTGAGGTATAGTTAGTTGTTTTGGCTGTTTAAAAGTTTGCATATGTAATATCCCAGTGAGGTATGGTAACTAGCCAACACTGCCCATAACCTTAGCTAGCAGACACAGGCCAGACTCAGTCTTGAAGCATATTTTTCTGATATAATGTTCAATTTCATATACTTGATAAACTCAGCACCTTGTGTTTCCCACATCCCACTACCTCAGGAAAAGAAATCTTTCTCAGTCCCCCTCTCCACTAAGACTTTTTTCAGAGATGACAAAGACTGTGCTTTACTGATGATGAAGTCTGTCTCAAGATGCCCCACAGGTACCCCAATACCAATGTTTTGTGGGGCTGTAGTTTTCATGCTGATGTGGACACTTGAGTTCAACACCAGGCTGCAGGCAGGAGTCTGCACCTGGATGAAAAATCATCAGAAAGGAAAAAAGTATTTGGGGCTAGAGATAACCTCAAAGGTCATCTGACATGGAAGGGGAAGAAGGTTTGAAGTGACAGCCCAAATATCTCATCAAAGCTCTCCTCTGGTTATGGTAAGTTCCTGCAAACATTTGATCTTCGTGGGAACAAAGGAAGAGTCTCTTCTCCTGTACCTCTGCCCTACAGATAAAGATTAATTTGAAGGACCTTTAACATACTCCACAGATTTTCTCAAAGAGTAACACCTATTTCCCAAACTCAGGAATTTGTCCAACTAGAAGAACCAGTATCAACATATGTAGATCACCACTAAAATAGAGGACAAGTATAGAAAAATACTAAAGCTCTCCCAAAAGTGAAATCTTTGTTTTCTACAATGTATAGATAATATTGTTTCCAAAGATTTTTCAATCCAGGAAATGTCATAAACAAAAGGTGAACTTGCAGCAATAACAGAATGAACAACATGCTTTAGTGGAATATTTTTAATTATTCATTACTGAATGGACATTTCTTGATTTAAAGTGCCTTAAAAGGGCTGTTTTAAGCTTTTTACCTCTTTCCTATTTAAGGTTATACAAAATTTCAGTGGTCCAAGAAACTGCCTTTGTTGATTCTCTATCGAGATAATTTCCTACTTTCTTTTCCAAGGGATAGGATTGAAGAATTGGTAACAAAATGTACTTACGATGGTGCTTGCTGTGTATCGGACAGCAGTAAACAAAAGCTCATCAACAATACCAGCCTTTCCATTGGAAAACTCTACAATATCTGCAAAACAGAAAATATCAAAGAGCTACTGTCAATCTGGGTCCAGGCTGTAAGAAATGGGCCAATGGCACATTGCAGCAAAGTATATTGCCTATACTAGTTATTTATTAATAACTTGCAAAATGGTGCAACCAATCATGATGGACATGCTGGTGATGCGCACATTACTACCCCAGGGACAGACATTCTGGACTAAGCCACAATTTTACAATTGATTAATCATCTATTCTCTTCCCAGCTTCAACATTTTCACATGATAGCGACTAAAAGTCATGTGCAAAGACAAGTTTCACAAATACTGCAAAGGCATCTGAAAATCAAAAGGCATCCCAAAAGAATGGCTGTAAAGCATTTCTAAGTGGAGACAAACACAAGTGACAAGTCTCTTTTCTATGCCATTACTTAATCCCAGATATTACTATTTCTGTGGTCCAGCGAGGTGAGAGAAAGCTCCTTCTGGTTTATACAGCACCAAAGGAACTACGCTGGAAATCTCCCCCACCATCTCAATCTGAGCTACTCAGCCCATTTTTCATACATGCTCAAGACAGAGGGATTTCCAGAGGGTAATTAGTCTCATCGTAGCATAAACATATAAGATCACTCAGCAGCTGATGGCATTTCAGATTGTAGGAGAGACACAATGTCTTACAAGGTAAGATATTGATAAACAGGAGAAAAACCTGTCTGAGGAACAATTGTTTGTACAAGAACTAGTTTTGATCAAAGGCAAATGAAAGAACAAACTTAAACTTTCATCAGGTCTCGTTTTTACAAACCTTTACTGGATTGTTGTCTCCCAAACATAATTTTGTTGACTCATGAGAATGGAAAAATGCCCATCTGATTTAGTGGCAGGTCAAGTCTCAGAAACGATCACATGGCTATCCCCTAGGTTCTGATGATAAACTGCCCTTTAATACACTGCATTTAAATTTCTATCTTTAATTATTATCAATGGATGCCTCAAAACAGCAGTCCAGTATTTGCAGGGTGAATTCAGGCTCACAGCAAGGGCTCACTGCCCATAGTCATGTTGTACTGTGAGGATGAAGGGACCTTCACCTCACCCCACCACCTGCCTAAGCGACATTTCTTGCCTTTTTTTCAAGACAAGGAGGTAGGGAAAGAGAAAAAGTTGTCAGCAAACCAGCTCAATATTTTACAGTGGGTGTGCCACAAGCGTGGTAGCTCCCTCTGAGACCAAAAAAGACGGCAAATACTCTCTGTCCATTGCTGATCAAAGAATCGGCCAGCAGCAGTAGCAGCAAGATTGTTTCTGACTTCAAACTCACATTAGAAAAAGCTAAGTTTTGCCTGCTCTAGGCATATTTTTTTTTTTACTAAGAGACAGCCAGTTTCCTTCACCCTTCCTGTCCCGGCTTCCACTCTCACCTCAGGTGTCAGGATGAAGGGAGGAGTTGAGGACATTTACCTGTGGATCCTCAGGGTCCAAATTCACGCTCTTCAGAAAATGTTTACAGGAGTTCAGACTTGAGAACCATTAAAAATAAAGTTATTTTCACTCTGCCCTCCCTCTCTACCCTATAATTCCCTCTGCTGATTTATTTCCATGCAAAAATCCCATCATTTTCCTCAGGGCTTTTCGCCTCCCAAACCAATCAAGGTGAGGAGGAAGAGCAGAGATTTCCACCACAAAGCTGGTTTGTGTTTAGGGCAAAGACACGGGTAAGAAGAAGTCCTCTTGGGAACAGGGCTCATGCTTTCCACTGGGAGCAGAAGAGGCTTGTTAAACTTGCAGCTGGTAAAATAAGGACTTCTCACTCTTGTAGAGATAATGAGTGAGTTAAGAGCAGTAGTGGCTGTGGAGCATAAGGCTCCTGCCATTTTCAGAGACAGTTCTGCTTCTACAACTTGCACTGCTGCCATCCAAGGTGGGAGCTGATGCAATCACCAAGTCACTAAAACAGGACAAGAGTGGGTGGGTGGGTCCTTTGCTTTTCTCCAGACAAAATACAGAATTAGAAAAAAAGTAGTATCTGTAAGGTCTGCCCTTTCCTTGAGAAACACACAAGGAGTTCTCCCAGATGAAAAGTCAACAATTTGCAGAAGAATGCAACATAACCAACATGGATTTTCTACTCCCGTACTCACAAGAAAAGTACTTTTGCACTGTGAGATCACACAAAAATCTTTTTCTGTGCTGATATTTATCAGAGGGGAAAAGGCAGGCTTTCCATTGTCTGGGATGTCTTGTTTGTCAGGGTCTGAGGTCTGTTTGCACAACTATACAAATAGCCTTGTATGAACTCGCAGTTAGACATTTTCACAGATCACACTCTAAAGAGTACCCTGTAAAAGCTGTTTTTCGCTTTCACTTGTTTTTAATTGGGTTTGCACTTTTGCTTCCTAAAGTGAATAAATATATCTGAGTACATAACAGCTATCCATAGCAATATGTTTCATAAATATTTTATATTTGAATTTAAGAAAGTGTTCTGACTCTTAATAAAGATTTTTTTTTTAACCAAAATATAGACCAGTAATTTAAACGAAATAGGGATATTTCTCACTGTTTCTCACAATCACAGAGGAGCAAGCTTAAACATAACCATTTATATAATGAATCTTAAAATTCCTTATGCTTGATTGGTCTGTCTCTGGGCTTGTATAAAATGATCACTGCACTGCTTTTCTAGTAACACAGATTCTTCTTATTGTAATTTTTAGCAGAATGTAAAATATTCCAGTCCAAAGGCACATTAAAATGTAACCTAATGAAACAAAATGAAACTAAATAAACCAAAACGATCTTGATTAAAGGTCTCTAACACATATATGAAAGTGAGAATACAGAAAACTCCCCCTAAAATAACTCATATGCCTGTGTTTTTCCTAAAGGCAAAGTCCCTTCCTATATACTCATCAGCCACTTTTCACCTATTGATCCTTCAGCTGACCCACAGTCCAGTACAGATTGTGGAAAGCAGAGCCCAGGGTTGATGTATTTGTAAGAAGGTACTGGTAAACCCCGAAACTGGGGAGACAGAGTTGCTTTATATTGAGTATATGCTATCTCCCTTTTCAGTAGCTTAATGTGAACTTTGCAGGATTTCACAGTGTTTTGAGCACCAGCAGTAGTTTTTGTTCTTTGCCTTGAAGAGCTTCCCAAAGCCTTTTTCTCCTTAATCAGCCTAAATACCAACAAAACCAAACTCTTCTTTCAGTTTCAGCCTGCACTCTCTCACCTCTGCCTGCCAGAAGGGTACAAAGGACAGCTTCACAAAGCACGTTTTACAAATAAGCACTGTGGTGACAACCTCTTTGCCGAGTTACAGGGAGCTGTAACAAACACAAAAGGCAATATTTTACTTCTGACATTTCAGAAAATTAGATTTTGAAATCCTTTTTCAACAGCAGACCATGAAGTGTGGGTCTAATTTGAAAAGTTCCTCTTAACAGCAGGACAGCTTCTCTTTAGTGTCAATGTAAATTGAAATTGTAGACTAAAAGTATACTTTCTTTCATCAAGGTCATGAATTAAGAAGATAACTAGGCTGTAGTTGCTTTTGCCATTAAACCAAATTTCTTTAAATGTTCTGCATTTAGTGCTCCTAAGCGTATCTCCTGAAAAAAAAATCATCCATTTAAAAGAGGAAAACCAGTATATCTATGGGGTTTTCTGCTCTATCTTAGGAGGCTGGATTTCAGGGGCATTAACAACCAGCCTCAGTTCTTTCTCATAGGTTTCTCCCTCATTTCTCCCTCATTCTCCCAATGGGTAGGCAAAATTCTGTGATTTTCTTAACATAGCGTAAAAATAATAATAATAAAAAAAGGTTAAAAGATGTACGAAACCAGCACTGCTTCTAGACATTTAATATATTGCAAAACTGACCTATGTAAGACTATGGGATTCTTTTAGGTCAAGCAATAATTGCATTATACTACTGACATAACATTTCACCCTACTGCAATAATTCATCCTGTTTTTTTAGTAAACTACTTTTTTTCAAAATCTCAGTGCTTTTGGCACCTTTAAGAACCATAGGTCAAATTTAGTAAATATACCAGCTAGAGCCTTGCTGAGAGAAAAAGCCATTGAACTGGTCATGGCCAGAAGAAGAGATGTCTGAGCATGCAAGTGATTGTCTAACCCCCAGGGAAAGCACAGAGCTCCTGGAAATGAGGAATAAAACAACTTGGCCTAAATAATACAGGGTATTTGGATTATTGCCGTTGTAATCAAATATCCTGACACTGTCCAGCGTTTTTCTCAAATCCAACCTTTGTGGCTTTTCTTTTTTTTTTTTTCTTTCAATTTCATGATAAAACCCAAAGAAATCCTAACTTTTCCTTGTTACCAACTGTAACAAATAAAAATTATCTACAAAAATGATGTATTTCAAATATTTTGGTCTTTCCCAACTTCTCCATTCTTCCAGACTGTAATGAACACAATCGTCATTTAAGGAATTCTTTTCTTCTCCTTTTCATGGGAGCAAAAGGTGAGAATATGTTAAAAAAAGCAAAAGGTATCTTGAACATATAGGTGTCAAAAGCTAAAATCTTAAGTAGCTGAGAAGAGTAAGAAAAAAGGTTACACATTTAGTTCTGTGGCTGTGGATGCATATAATGAAATCAAGGAAAACCAGTATTTGTTCAGGAAAAATTTAGAGATGTAATTTATAACTCTTACTGACCCTCATTCCTTGCATATCCTGACTTGCTAAAGGGAGACACTCTAAGGTTTCAAACGATTGCACAATCATACTAGAAAATGTTTCATAACCACACCAAAGGAGAAAAAAAATCCCATACCACGTACAGCTACAGCTAGCCACGTGCCTACCATTAATTTCATCCAGTAACTCAGAGGAGCATGAGACACCAGAAAGCATCTCCTTTCCGAAGCTTAGAGAAGGCTCAACTCCCATGTCCATCACACCCAAGCAAGTTGAGGTCAGCTCCACTTGCGGATCCAACATGTCCTACTTTTTTTAATCCCTTGGCTTTAATGTTGTAGGATGAAATACAAAGAGAAAGGGGAAAGGAGACAGGATATGAGTGTCAGGAGAGTTTTGGTTTTATTGTGAAAGAGGAGC